GGGGACAAAAACGCCGTAGCGCTTTGTCGACTGCTATCATCTCCAAGCAGTTTATGTGAAGGAGCTTTTCACGTTCTGACCACAGGCCAGCTAGCGGTCTGCCCTCGAGCAGCGCTCCCCACCCCAAGGTGGAGGCATCCGTAGACACCACCTTCACACTCGAAGCGGTCCCCAGACTCACACCTGACTGATACCAGTCGGTTATTTTCCAAGGTTCCAGAGCTGAAACACACTGTAGGTCGACCCTGAGGCGAAACAGACCCGCTGTCTATGCCCTGGGTGGAACCCACGCTTTCAGCCACATCTGCAGTGGGCGCATGCGAAGCAAGCCCAACTGGAGTACAGAGGCCGCTGAGGCCATCAGCCCCAGCATTTTCTGAAACCTTTTGAGCGGAACTATCGAGCCGTGGCGGAAGGATTTCACGACGCGCTGAATATTTAGTCCGCGCTCTGGTGACAGGCGTGCCGTCATGGATAGCGAGTCTAACACTGTTCCCAGAAAGGAAATTTTCTGACTGGGAGACAGTGAGCTCTTCGCCCAATTGACTGTGAGGCCCAGCTCCTCGAGGTGCTCGAGTAATGCGGCCCTGTGTTCTATGAGCTCCGATCGTGATCGAGCTAGAATCAGCCAATCGTCCAAGTAGTTCAGGACTCGCATGCCCTGAAGTCTCAGGGGTGCGAGCGCCGCGTCCATGCACTTCGTGAATGTACGAGGTGCTAGGGACAGGCCGACCGGCAGGACTGTGTATTGATATGCCTGGCCCTCGAAAGCGAATCTCAAGAATCGCCTGTGATGGGAGGCTATTTGTATTTGGAAATAGGCGTCTTTCAGATCTATTGACATAAACCAGTCCCCGTGGCGCACATGCGCGAGGATTTTCCTGGTCGTAAGCATTCTGAACTGGCGTTTCACAAGCGCTCTGTTCAGCTGTCGCAGATCTAAAATGGGTCTGAGACCTCCATCTTTTTTCGGTACCAGAAAATATCTGCTGTGTAGGCCCCCTTTGCTCTGAGCTTGAGATAAAGGTTCTACAGCACCTTTGCTCAGTAGTTTCGCTATCTCGGCTCGAAGTAGATGAGATACTTCGTTTTTCACCGTCGTCTCGACGCGCGCCGTATAACGGCGGGGACGTCGAGCGAACTGTAGCGAATAGCCTCTTTTTATAGTGTTCAGCACCCATTCTGATACCCCAGGAAGCTGTGCCCACACTTTTGCGTGAATAGCTAGGGGTAGAATGAGATCTGGGCTCTGGCAGAGACATAGTGACGGCAAGGGAGCTCCGGCGTGCTGTAACGCAGACACTGTGTTTACAGTGTGTGAGGCGGGGGGCGCGCCGATCGCGGCGGGCAGCCTGGCCGCGCTCAAAACCCTTATAGCAGTTTGCTGAGGGAGAGAGAGCGGGGCGAGCCCCGTGGGGCTTAACATGTCTGTGAGTGAATGTGGGCGCAGGACAGCGGGCACATTTACTGCACTGAAAAACACCGTCGGCCTGAGCTGACTGAATGCGTGTTGGTTTCGTTTTTACAGAACCCGTGGGACATGTGGTGTGTAGTGTTTGTGGGCACTGAGACGTAGGCACATTCACTACATTTAGTGCACAATCGACATGAGGCGATTTTGTTTGTGCGAGCCCTGCATTTTTGCGGGCTGTGTTTGTGTGTAGAAATGAGCGGTTTCGGTTTTTCAAACAGCGGTGTTTGTGTGTAGAAATGGTTGTGTGCATTTTCAATACACTCATAACACCATCGGCTGTGGCCGGAATACCAGAAAATACACTGTTTATGTGATTTATCTGGGTCGCCGTGGGAACAGCATTTGTGTGCAGGCAAGCGGGCATGGTACTGGCTTGCTTACTGCAAAATACACTGGAACAGTCACATTTTCTGCAACTGAACGAGCGAAAATTTCAGTGGACGTCTGGCCACGGCGAGACTGAAACACTGTCGATTTCCTAGGAGGCTAGGAAGACTTGTGTTGGTTTCGTTTTACAGAAACCGTGGTAGTGTTTGTGGGCACTGGGTTGTGGGCACATTCACTACATTTAATGCACAATTGACATGCGTCGATTTCATTTGTGCGAGCCCTGTACCGTGGCGGGCTGTGTTTGTGTGTAGAAATGAACACTGGGCTGTGAGCATTTTATTACACTTATAACACCATCGGCTGTGGCCGGAAAACCAGAAATAGAATGATTACATGATTTTTCTGGGTCACCGTGGAAACGGCCCTTATGTGCAGGCAAGCGGGCCGTGGTACCAGCTTGTTTACTGCAAAATACACTGGAACAGTCGCATTTTCTGGAACTGAACGAGCGAAAAGTTTCGGTGGAAGTCTGGCCGCGGCGAGACAAAATTTTTATCTGCTGCGAGAGCCGGGATCGAACACGGGTCTCTCACGCAAAGGTTTCGGGTTCCGCCACTGGGCCACAGGGAGAACTACATTAGCGCAAGCAGATAAGAGAGTGTCATCACAGTTTTGTGTGTGTCGGCGTTTGTATGCAGGTGTGCGTGTTATACAACAGGCTCATTGCTGCAATAATGACATTTTCAGCCGCTCAAACTAGGAGATGTGAAATGTTTGAGAAATGGAGATTAGTCCGGCCTCGGCGGGGACTAAAACACACTCTTTTCTCATTTGCCAGTGACGCACGCCCATGGGGGGCGGGGTAGATTTCTTATAACGTAAAGAAAGCTAGCCGCGGTTTTAGGGCTTGCGGTCTTGATGCTGGCCCGTTTCCCTGACGACTCGCGGACAGAAGGGGGAGGTCCACAGAGCTCACCTGTTGCACGGCGGTTGCGCGGGCGCCTCCCAGTCGAGGCCGATGCTTTCCACGGCCAGAGAGAGCAGACGCATCAGCTCAGTCTCAATGCCGGCTCTCTTACCAGTGGTTTGGCGGGAAACGCTAGCGGAGGGGAGGTCCACGGAGCTCGCCCAATCCTCGCTATCAGATGCCAGAAGAGAACACGCCTCGGTGGGTTCGTTGAACTCGTGGACGGACGCGGCGGCAGGCGGCGGCCGTTGTCCGTCAGTGAGCGACTCGAGCGAAGCCGGCGGGCGAACCGGCGAGCTTTGGTGGGCTGGAGAGAGCTCGGGAGCGCGCTGGGCGCGGCGCTTCTTGGGGCGCGGCACCACGGCGGGCTGTGGTGAAGGCTCGGAGAATGATGCCAGGCGAGTCCTCAGAGTCACCATAGGCAAAAACTCGCAATGAGGGCATCCGCCGTCAGCGAGCGCGATGGCTGCGTGATCCTCACCCAGGCAGGCCGTCGCTGAGTGGGGCGCGGCACTCAGCGACGGGAGCTCCAGAGCTCGTCCCGCTGAAAAGCTTGCTTCGACGGCGCGGCTTCTCACTCCAGATCCAGCGATGCGTGTGCTTCGCTGAAGAGATGAAAATCAGCTTGTACCAGCCTACCGAGCATATTTATAGAATGAGACCACGCCCTTTCTGGCGGGATGTGACGATATGGGCGCGAGTTGCCCCCATTGGTCATTACGTCACGCAGAGTCTCTCTCGATAGGCTGCTGCATTTGCCGCAAGAGCAGCCAATAGGCGCATGAGCTGTTTAGCCTGTGTCTGCTTGCTGCTGCAAAGCGTTTTACATTAATAAAAAATTATGGATAATTTTTGGCTTCAATATCTCGTGGAAAAGAGGTTTTCCCCATAGCGTAAGCTATTACGCAGTACAAGAGATACTCTCGTAAGAGAACACTGATTTACTCAAAGTTTACAATGCAAAATGCCAGGCTATTCTGAACCAGAGAGATGTTTCTGATATGACACTATGGAGTATAAGACATTAGAAAACAGGTCACTGACAAGATTATTTATTAATTGTTTTGTACAATTAAATATTCAAACAACATAAGACTATGATACAACAACAATGACCAGAAATAAAGGAGGGTGTCATAACCCAGTCCTTCCTAATAAACAACTAGTTGTGATCAGTTAATACCAGCCATGTGCTCTTACCATTGGATCAGCAACAGTATCCATAAAGATCTAGGGCCTTGTGTGTAACACTTGCCGTAGACTTTATCCTAAAAAGTAAGCGTGAGTGCAAATGACAGATATTAAGATTTATAAAACCATATGTGCCAGTGCAAAGTTATTATTATAAATTCCAAATGGTGGAAGATTGTACATACATACACGTGCGTTTTGTATTATGCATGGCCTCATCTGAATAAAATGTACATATGCATAATGCCATCCAAAGGCATGATACTACTGCATTTACCAGTACTAAAAACTAGGAAAATAGATTATAGACTGTACAGTAAATATCGCATGTGCCAATAAGAGAGATACTATTATAATTGATTATACTTACTAAAAGAAAAAGTTATCATCCAGACTTATTAAAAAACGTTATATTATTAATAAAAGGGGCCCATTTTATATGAAGTGTCTTTAACAACTATGTACTAACATTTAAATTAATCATTTGTTACAATGCAGTTATTGTGCACATACATCGTATTTAAAACTCCTGCATGAAATTACAGCTGTAATTAATTTTCTGTCATTACATTTAGAATTACATTGTTGACCCTTTCCTTACACCTTAACCAGCCCTTAAACCTAACCATACCTCGAAACCTTACCCTAACCTTACCTATATGTGTTTGCATTACAACATGAACACAATAACTACATGGTACCTAACATGTATTATTATTATTTATGATGATGATGTAAGTATAGTAGTTAAAGACACCTAATACAAAATGTGAGCAGTAAGATTAATATATGTTTAAGCCTGCATGGTGATCATTTCGGATTTAAACTCCATACAGATTGCATTGTGGTGAATTTAATTAAAAAGCAGTGCAAATAGGTTTGTTACAGTAAAATATTACGTACACTGGACACATTAAACCTGTAAAAATATTTGGTAAATCATGTTTATAAATAATTTTATAAATAAATAAATAAATAAATAAATCTGAAAGCAAAATGAGAAGCCTAAGACCTGTGGTTTCACCTCAGGCTCATACATCACAATAAAGTCAATTTATTGAAGATCATTAAAACCATGATCCCCTCAAAGTGATTATACACAGATCCAAACCCCTCCAACTGTATCAGCTGCCTCTTAGTTATATGTTTAATGGGAAGAAGATTCCTAAACTTCATTTCAGCTGAGTTTTGCTATTTTCAGTCCAACTATTAAACACAGCATCTAGGAGGGAGAGAGAGAGAAGCTGAATTTGCAGCGGATTACAGATGTGGCTAAGTCAGAAAAGGACTTTTAGAAGGATTACTGTAGTGTTGTGGGGACTACATATATATTTCAAAGGGGTCATAAGAATGCTGTTTTGAGAAAAAGAGATTAGGTAGGCTGAAATCTTGTGGGTTTTTACGATGAGCTAAGGTACACCCGCACAGCCGGGTAGAAGATGAGGATTGTCCCAAGCACAGAAACTGTGAGAAAGGCCCATAGGAAGATCCGGTCCAACACCTGAGCCACAAACTTCCAGTCCTGAACGACCTGAGAAACAAACAGACCCATGTACACTAAATACACAGTATAAAGCAAGCACTTATTATCAATAATTTGATAATTGATTGAGTGGTACCTCTCTGATGAAGTGTTCCTTCTTGATGTGTCTGGAAATGTAGTGCACTGAGTTAGTGGCTTTCTCCAACAGGGCAATCCAGGCCTGGTTATCATCTTCCTTTAACCCCCCTCGTCCACCTCCGGCACTCTTCTGTTGCCCTTTTTTCATCCCTCGTTTTGGCTCTGGGCTCCTTAGCTCGATGTCTGGGTACTGATACCGATCAGAGTGCCCCCTCATGCAGAGCAGTCTGGGTAATCTCTGGAGGAAAAGACTCTTAACCCATGGTGCCATGGGATGGTATGTGGCAGAAGAACGGTGATGGACATTGATGACAAAGACAGTTACAATGATTGAGAATGTGACGAAGATCATGATAAAAAGCAGATACTCTCCTATCAGAGGAATGACTTTAGAGGAAGATGGGATGATCTCTTCAATGACGAGAAGAAACACAGTGAGAGACACAAGGACGGATGTGGAGAGGGAAAGCTTTTCTCCTTCATCCGAGGGAAGGTAGAAGACCAGCACGGTAAGAAATGACAGGCCGAGACATGGAATGATGAGAAAGAGTGTGTAAAAGAGAGGGAGACGCTTCATTATGAACGAATATGTGACGAAGGGATAGGAGTAAATGCCGTCATGCCGACTGCCCCTCTGGCCGGTGGCATTCAGTATTTCCCATTCGCCATTGTCAAAGAAGTCTTTACGGTCTACGTATGCATCTACCAGGGTCAGGTCCACCATAGTGCCATCGTATGTCCATGATCCAAACTTCATTGAGCAGTTCTGCCTGTCGAAGGGGAAAAAGGTGACGTCCATGGTACAGGCGGATTTATAGCTGGCAGGAGGAGTCCACATGATGGTACCATTAGACCTTACAATGGCTTTGGTCATTAGAGACCCTTCAAACCGACCATCAGCACTACGAGAGATGGAGAGAGAGAGAGAGAGAGAGAGAGAGAGAGAGAGAGAGAGAGAGAGAGAGAGAGAGAGAGAGAGAGAGAGAGAGAGAGAGAGAGAGAGAGAGAGAGAGAGAGAGAGAGAGAGAGAGAGAGAGACAGACAGACATGATATTAGCAACTACATTTCACATTTTTTTATTGCCCATGCAAATGTCAATGCTGCAATGCTCAGAGGTTCTGGACATTGCAGTAACACTTTATATTAAGTATACAGTAATAAAGTATGTACAAATCATTTGCATACTATTAATTAATAGTTTATTAATATTTATATATATTGTAGTCTATACATTATTAATAATAGGCTATATACAAATAGTGTGCTCTTCATTCATTGTCACTGTAATTACCAAAATTATTATTGTTCAATTAGCTCATAAAAATAATGTTTTAAATGCTTTATTTATGCTTTATAACTTATTAACCATATATAAATGTTTAGTATTTTAAACCAGTAGTTTAAAGGGAGTTGTTAATTGTTATCAGGAGTAAATAGTTCTCATTTTAGATTAGGTCAGAAAATGTCATTAAAGGTCCCGTTCTTCGCGATTCCATTTTTCAAACTTTAGTTAGTGTGTAATGTTGCTGTTAGAGCATAAATAATACCTGTAAAATTATAAAGCTCAAAGTTCAATGCCTAGCGAGATATTTTATTTAACAGAAGTCCCCTTTCAAAGCATACAGCGAACGGCCTGTTTGGACTACATCCCTCTACTTCCTTTTTTAATGACGTAACTAGAACAGTTTTTTGACTAATCTCCGCCCACGGGAATACACAAAAAAGGGGTGTGGTCTTGTTGCGCTCCTACGGAGAAGAAGCACTTCATCTGCACATGCATCTCCAATTTATGGTAAGAGGCGAGACCTTTCCGGGCAACGTGCGATAAGCTGCTGTCGAATCACAACACAGGAACCGCTGGCACAATCAGAACTCGCTACGTATTTCTGAAGAAGGGACTTCATAGAACAAGGAAGTCATCGGGCCGTTTTTTGGACAGTGAAAACAGCAGTATACAGATAAGTAAATTGTGTGAAAAATACAGTGTTTTTTTACACGCGAAACATGAACACGTTATATTGCACACTGTAAACACAATCAAAGCTTCAAAAAACATGAAGAACGGGACCTTTAATTAACCTTTATTGGACATTAATTGCATTCATATTAAGTGTTTCTTAAAATGTTTACAAATACATTAAGCACGCAGCTGTGTGTCTGTGGGTGTGCGTGTTTGTCAGTACCCTTTTGTTATAGGACCTGATGTTCGTGAGGTGAGCAACTGGCCCCCAGGGGAGATGAAATGACCATCTGACAGACAAACTGGAGCCTAGAAACTCAGATGTGTGACCTCAGGGATCCTGGGTGTCATCCAGACAATCAATGGAGATATGCTTCTGACTAACAGCCCGTACCTGGAAGTTTATCTATGTCTTAACCAATCAGAATCATTCAACCTGACCTGATGACGTAGTTTAGTGACCTGTGTTAGAGTATAATTGCTGCTGTATTGAGTGTGTACCCAGAGCGACCTACAAACTCCTTGCTGAGTGTGAAGCTGACTTCTGCTGATGAAGCAGCAAACTATTCTTCAAGGGGTCATATAATGGTACATGCACTTTTACAAGTTGATTGTACTGAAATGTGTGTTGGCAGTGCCTGTACACAACCATCATATAATGATAAAAATCCATCCAGTGTTTTTGTTTTAATCTCCTTATATGTTTTCCCCTGCCTCAAATTGAGCCGTTCGTTTTTGTGACGTCAATAAAACGGACGCCCCTTCCGCGATTGTTGATTGACAGCCGGGTTTCAACACAGACCCGCCCTCGCTCGTCCTGTCAATCATAGTCTGCGCGGACAGGCGCGGTCATTGTTGATATACTGGAGCACTGTCTATGAGCAGAATGGCGTCCAAGCGATTGTGGTGTTCTGTTCTTGGGTGCAATAACGAACACAGCAGTCATTTTAATGTTCCTAAATCCGAACCGCTGAAGACGCAGTGGCTGTGTTTGTTTTCGAAGGGAATATTCCCCACGAGCAACGTCAATGCTCTCATGTTTGCCGAATCATTTCTCAGTGGACTGCTTTATAGACGAGGATCAGTGTAAAGCTGGTTTTGCTGAGAAGCTGCACCTGAATAAAGGATCGGAACCTATTCGTGTTCCTGCTGAACCTTCAGAAGAACTAAAGTGAGTGTAACGTTTTATTAATCTTTATATTAATCTTTGCAAATCGCCAGCTGCACGCTTCACGATGAATGCGTCGGTTTACACTCAGGGTACATTACGGCATGTTTTCTATGTACAACGTTCTCAATATAATTCATAATCCCACGTTTATAATGAACAACCGTTATGGTTATTGTGTTATTGTGTTACAAACGGTGTATGCACAGAACAGAGAGGCGGGGTGAGCAAAGCTCATGATCATTTAAAGGCATATGCACTGAAACGGCGTGCTGAAAACAGAGCTGTTTTTGACCAGGTAAAATAAGTGTTTTCTTACAATACTAATGAGAATTTTTAATTAAAGTATATTACAAACTTTTAATTTAGACCCTAAAGAATCATATTAGCTTGTACAAAAATGGCATTATATGACCGCTTTCAGTAAAATTTTCTTCAGTTGATTGCAACTCTGACTCCTGGTCTTTATAATATCTGGTCCTGGGTCTTAACTGTAAGTTCTCCAACAATAGCTTAATGTATTTGCAAACATTTTAAGGAACACTTAATACTAATGCAATTAATGTCCAATAAAGGTTGATTTAAAGCACTTAATGAAATCTTTTTAGATTTTCCGTGACTTAATCTAAAGTGAGAACTATTTACAGTTAATAAGTTGTTAACAAAGCATAAAAAACATTATCTAACTATTTAAATATGAGCTAAATAAACAATAATAATTTTGTTAATTTCAGTGACCGAATGTTCAATTTCCATTCCATTTCTACTCTTCTAATAAGTATTTGCATTTTCTTTGCCTATTTGAATATGTTATAGATCATTAGACATGACGTTATGGTGTCCTGGAAGGTCCAGAGGAGATACTTTCATAAAAACTTCATAAAATTGTCTGACGCAGTGTTTCTCAACCTTTTGTACTTTCTCCCCAATAGTTATTTGATATTAAATATTGATATGTCAAATTGGTATTTAAATACAACCCATAGGTGCGATTAAATATGAAACAAACTTAAACTTTAATTAAAATTAGACTAAATTAAAATTCAATGTAATGTTATTGTTTCTATTTAATAATTTAAATTTATTATGAATAAAATAGTTATAAAAATAAAATATTTACAATTCCTGCTTTTTAATTTTGCTGGATATTGGCAATATTTGCTCTCCTGGTACAGTTGTTCTATGTCTGCTATGCTTGAAACAAACTCTTCCAGCCTCAGCTACAACTACAGTTTTTTAGATGTTCACAGGCAGCCAATGAAGACCATAGGCTGGCATTATGCACATTTGTTACAAATCTACGTAGGTTTGAGCAGGAAGTAAGCCTGGAATTACAGACGACTTGTTTCAGGCAGTTCAGAATCGGTTCTTTCTTTCAGGAGACAATAGCTCCATTTATTGTGCCTTTTGATCTTTCTTCAAAGCTATATAACACACTAAATGAAAGGTAATATCAGAAAAAGCATAACAGGGTGCTTTAAATACAAATTGTGTGTCATCTAGAACAAGCGCACAAAAACTGGCCAATTGTAGTCCGATTAACATTGGATGAAGCCAAGACACAACTGCATTATCTAATACGAGCACCTGTATGACATTATATACGTATAAGAGGTCATAAAAAGACTTACTTCTCATAAAGGACGATATCTGGTAGCCAGATAGTTTCTGAGGGCACTCTGATGGATGTGATTCCACCATAATCTTCTGGATTCCAACGAAGCTTAGCGTCTGTCCACTCCTACAAGAAAGAGACCATTAAAGCATGAATCAAGAAGGTATTTTGGGACATACTTAAAAATGAAAGCCACATTTCTTTGGGTTACCTGCCACAACCAGACATTTGTAGTCATTAGTTGATTCTTTTCATCCTGAAGAGAGAAATGAAGAAAATACACAATGAAAGGTGAAAAAAATTCGATAGTTGCTAAAATGCGTTTACACCACCATACATGAGCTTGAACCACATAACATGTTTTAAATGAACCCAAATGCACTATTTCTCTCAAAGCTTCAAAATCTCTCACCATTGACCTACTTGTGTCATTCAGAGGATTAACTCAACTGTGCTATTTATATATGCAGCTCTAAAGATAGTATTTTATGTCTTTTGTTTCATTAAATTGAAATTCAGACCCTGAATAGGAACCAATATACTGAGACAGAATGGTGTATAAATAAGAATGGTGTGAAAATCAATTGTTCCTTCCCACAGTGTTCAGTGTTTCACCAGCCAGAAAATTTACACTGTCGAATCGTGACAACAAGGTGAGTGCTGAATATCATGTTGATTACAGGATATGACCATCAGGTGGCTCTGCAGGACAAATATATATATATATATAGCATGTGCCTGAATCCTAAAAAAAAAAACCTTGCTGCCTCACTGCTCAGACTAAACAAGGTTCCAACAAAGCACTATATTGTCACGCTGATTATCCTGGTCAGGTCTACAGTGAGATTTAAACATAATTAAGTAAATATTTAGTGACTAAAATATGTATTATATTTTATTTCTAAAAAAAATGTAAAGTTAGAAAAATTTTATATTTATAAATTATTTTAATAATTAAATTCTTCATTGGGTGCCATTTTTATTATTTCCACAAACCACTGAAAAACAGGTAGGCAGGATTGTGGGATATCATAGGCAGCCTTCAAAAAAATCAATCAGATAAAGGCATCTTAGTTGGCAGGATGTTATGTGGATGTAAACACTCGATTTGGACAGCTTCCGACGTCCTGCTTGCATAGGCCACATTTTCAACACCCATAGTTCCCTTTCGAGGGAACTCGCAATGCGTCAACGACGCTTTGGTAACGCCCCCAGCGTGAATGCGTCTGAAGCATCTATGTCAACTAGTCCAATGGAAAGAATGAGCGTCACGGGCGGGTGACGTCATGACCAGGAAGGGATAAAAGCACATCCGGTGCAAACCGGCATTAGCTTCTGTTGCCTCAGCAAGCGATCTGTGTTATACTGTCTCTGTCTATTTAATGTTGTCTGTTGCATATATTTGGAAAGAGTTATGGCGAAACAAATGTACAAACAGTGTGCTTCTCCCTGCCCGCGTTATTTAACGGGTGGGGACACACACGAGCTTTATGTCATTTGTTTGGGAGTGGAGCATGCCCTTCGAGGGGGCTGAGTGCCAGCATTGTGAGATGCTTCCGCTTCGCATGCTCCGCTCTCGCCTGTCACTCTTTGACGAGAGTGGTCAGGCTTGCGATCCTCAGGGTGCAGGACCCGCTGTTGCCGAGGCAACAAGGAGAATGCATTCTTGGGAATCGCAAAAGGATCTTTCGGAGGGGTTGGAGACGGGTCCGAGGGCCTTTTCTCCTTCCTTACCCGGAGGATCCAGTGCTCTCCCCCCAGTGTCGGAAGCCCGCTCTGCGGCTTCTTCTGCCCGGGGAGAGAGTCCTCCATTACTTCAGTGCTCTTCCTCTGAGGAGGTTGATGTAATGAGTATGGAGAGTGAAAGCACACACACTGGGGAAAGAGATTCGCCACCTGTTTCCCCAGCATATGAGGAGCTGGTGGAGGTGATGTCTCGGGCTGTAGAGAAAATAAATATTGAATGGCCAGCTGAGAAAAGGGGCGCTCGTCCCAAATGCAAATTGGACGAGCGCTTCCTTTCTTCAACCACATCATCTCCACCACGAGGCCTTCCCTTTTCCCCCGATCTTCATAGTGAGCTATCTAGATCGTGGAATAAGGCGTACTCGTCACGACTTTTCAGCCCTCAGGTTAATTTATATTCAGGTATAAGAGGGCTGAAAGAGTACGGATCTGAGGCGATGCCCCAGGCTGAACAGACGCTCGCGAGCTATCTGACACCTGGTCCAGCATCGTCTCTGAAGGCCTCAGCTTTGCCCACTAAACCGCTTGAAGCAACTTCGGTTTTAGTGAGCAAAGCTTATACGGCAGCAGGTCAAGCTGGAGCATGTCTGCACACTATGGCAGTGCTCCAGGGTTACCAAGCTGACCTGCTGGGGGATCTGGATAGGAGTGAGGGAGTTGGTCCTGACGAGGTTCGAGAACTTCGTCGGGCCACCGATCTGTCTCTCAGGGCTACAAAGGAGACCGCCAGAGCAATTGGGCGGTCTATGGCAGCCCTTGTAGCTACTGAGAGACATCTTTGGTTAAATCTGGCCGAAATAAAAGAAAAAGATCGGGCTTTTTTACTAGATGCTCCGCTTGAGCCTTCTGGTCTCTTCGGCGACGCAGTCAATGCGGTCGTTGAGAGATTTCAAGAGTCAAAGAAGCAAGCGGAGGCATTTAAAAAGTTTCTCCCTCGCCGTGTCCAGCCCCCTGGGGCTGCTGGGCGTGAGCAGCTCCAGCCGTCGAGCTCCTCATATCGTGCGCAACAGAAAGAGAGTGTTTCGTCTCGTGCACCTCCACATAAACACTGGAAACAGGCGCAACACTCTCAGTCGAAGTCTTCTAAGTCGAAGCCGGATCTGAGGACCGTTCTTCAGGCGAAGAAGACTTCGACGTCACTGGCGTCAGACCTGTGAGGACAGCCCCGACCGAAGTGGAGCGATGTACACTTCAGAATACGGTGCCCGTTCCACTTCGGGGTCCTCACGGGACTGTTCTGCCAACCCCGTCACCCTTGGTGCTTCGGGGCGCAGCGGTCTCCAGCGAGTCGCTGATGCTATGCTGTGGCACTGCATCGGTTTCGCGCCCTCTGAGGGGGGTTCTAGAGCAGCCAGTTCAAGTAGTTCCTGCCATTATGTTTCAGGCTCCAGAACTGGCTGTCTCGTTAATATCAGAGACCAGCCTCGAGAGGACTCGATCCGAGGACTGGTTTGTCACGATAGATCTGAAGTACGCTTACTTCCATGTCTCCATCCTCCCTCAGCACAGGAAGTTCCTAAGGTTTTCTTTCGGGGGCAAATAATACCAGTATCGGGTACTTCCTTTCGGTCCAGCTTTATCACCCCGCACGTTCACGAAATGCGTAGATGCAGCTCTAGCCCCGCTCAGGCTGCCGGGCATACGTATTCTGAACTACATTGACGACTGGCTGATTCTAGCGGAATCAGAGCAGTTGGCGGTTCGGCACCGAGGTGTCGATCTCGCTCATATGCAGATGTTGGGGTTGAGGCTCAATGCCAAGAAGAGTGTGCTTTCTCCAGTACAGAGAACCACTTTCATTGGTGTGGTATGGGATTCAGTGATGATGCGGGCCACTCTATCGCCCGTTCGTGTAGCTGCTATCCTGACAGCCACAGAAGAGCTGAGGCTAGGCCAGTCAACGCACTGTAAAACAGTTCGAGAGACTGTTGGTTCTTTTGGCAGCAGCGTCCAACGTGATACCTTTTGGCCTGCTGTACATGAGACCTTTACAGTGGTGGCTCAGGACCAGAGGGTTCTCCCCAAGGGGAAACCCACTTCGTATAATCAAGATCACGCGGCGGTGTCTCCGCGCCTTGGTTATATGGAGGAAACACTGGTTCTTAACCCAGGGTCCGGTGTTGGGAGCTCTTTGCCATCGAGTTGCGATCTCGACAGATGCTTCCCTCACCGGCTGGGGAGCGGTAATGGAAGGCCGCTCGGTTCAGGGTCTGTGGAGGAGTCATCATCTTTCTTGGCACATAAATTGCCTGGAGATTATGGCTGTCTTCAATGCGTTGAGGCAATTCCTCCCAGACCTGAGGGGCCATCATGTGCTCGTCCGTACAGACAACACATCGGTGGTCTCTTATCTGAACCGTCAGGGGGGTCTGCGTTCACGTCCGCTTTGCAAGCTGGCGCACCAGATCCTCCTGTAGTCTCTGGGGAAGGTACTCTCCCTGAGGGCAGTGTATATTCCTGGGGACCAGAATATTGGAGCAGACATCCTGTCGAGGCAGGAGCTGAGGCCAGGGGACTGGAGACTCAACCCCGAGGCGGTGGAGAAAATGTGGGAGTTTTACGGCCAAGCAGAGGTGGATCTGTTTGCGTCTCAGCATACGACGCACTGTCCACTTTGGTTCTCCCTTACTCACCCAGCCCCCCTGGGGCTGGATGCTATGGTGCAGACGTGGCCGAGGCTACGTCTGTACGCATTTCCCCTTGTTGCTCTGCTCCCAGGAGTTCTGGAGCGAGTCCGCCAGTACGGAATAAGCCTACTGCTAGTAGCACCACGCTGGCCGAGTCGGATCTGGTTTGCGGACCTGATCCATCTCTTAGACGGTCCTCCCTTGGAGATCCCGATCAGGAGAGACCTTCTGTCTCAGGCCGGGGGCACAATATTTCACCCCTGGCCAGAGATTTGGAACCTGTGGGTTTGGCCTCTGAGGGGGCCCAACTCATAGAGAGTGGTCTCTCAACTGAGGTTGTTGAGACCATTCTAAGCTCCAGAGCTCCAGCTACTAGGAAATTATATGTGCTTAAATGGAGAGTTTTTTCTGTATGGTGTCACCGACATCAGTGGGATCCGGTTAACTGTTCTGTGAACACAGTACTCGAGTTCCTGCAGGAGCGCTTTACGTCAGGTCTATGTCCTTCCACACTCAAGGTCTACGTGGCGGCCATTGCGGCTTACCACGCCCTGGTGGGGGGTACATCGTTGGGTCGAAACCCCCTGATTACACGTTTCCTTCGTGGCACATAGAGGCTGAGGCCTGCAACTCGCACTAGGGTGCAAGCTTGGGATCTTGCTGTAGTACTAGACGGCCTGTCTAGGGCTCCATTCGAGCCCTTAGATTCGGTTTCAGAGAAATTTCTTACCCTTAAGACTATCTTTCTGCTAGCTATTTCCTCCCTTAAGAGAGTTGGAGATCTTCAGGCCCTTTCGGTTTCCCCCACTTGCCTTGAGTTTGCGCCGGGGATGGTCAAAGCATTCTTATAACCAAAACAGGGATACGTCCCTAAGGTGCCGAC